TATCACTAACTCTCCTGACTCCTGACTCCTGACTATATACTCTGTTTCTCTCGCATCTTCCCTGTCTTTGCTCCTGTGTTCTGTTATTTATTTCCTAGTTCTGCCTAATTTCCTTTTGTTATGCTTTGTTCCTTATGTATTCCCTTCCATCTTTCCTGGCTGTCATAGTGTCCACCGCTTTACTTGCCAAAATAAACTGAAACTGAAACTTTCATTCTCGAATATCAACGATCATCTGCGATGCCAGAGTCGCGTTTTCCGCGATCACGGAGTCTGATGCCTCGGAGAAATCCGAGAAATTCTTGACCGGATTTTTGTATCCGGCGTGAAATCTGGAATTCTTAAAGGGAAAAAAAGCACCTGTTGCACGCTGTTTTTTTCCCATTGGGGTTTTTTCCTCGGAAAAAGATGAGCTTGTGTTGCGTTCTCCGAAGCCATTAACGGTATCGAATACCGATCTGCCCTCAGCAAGCGTGTAGAGTGTAGCAAGCAGGGCCGCCCAGAGGGGGGGGGGGGCAATTGGGGCAATCTGCCCCGGGCCATGTGTATCGAGGGGTCGAAGGGGGCCTCCAAAGGGCCTCAAGGGGGGCCTCCAAAGGGCCTCAAGGGGGCCCCCAAGGGGTCTCCAGTTTAGTTTTGCCCCTGGCCCCTGGAAATCTCTGGGCAAGGGTCTAGCAAGGGTTTAGCAAGTGCGTAGCAAGTGTGTAGCAAGTGTTTAGCAAGTGTATAGCAAAGGCGTAGCAGGAAATATGATTATTTTGTTCACCACCTGTAAATGGAAATTGGACCACGAGTGGGCGATTCCTCTTTTCGAATTCTCTATGCGATTTTCTACTTTTTACTTCGCCACGCCAAAAGAAAAACAATCGGAATCTCCACTTTTTAAATGCGTGCAACCAGGGTCAGACTGGCGGCCTCGGTGCCCCCGGGAAACTTTACAAAAGACCCCCACCCCCACACCCCCCCTCCCCTCTTCCCAAGAAGGGGAGGGGGGGGGGGAGGGAAATTCGCCGGTACCCCACTGGGCCAATCCGACTCTGCGTGCAACGTCAGGTGCCTGCACACACTGTTCATCTGTTCGCTTCGCCCGTGGCGAGAAATCACCAAAACAAAACGCAGAGCATCCGAAAAGCGCAATCGTCGATGAGCGATCGGCGGCGCGATCGGCATCCCGGTGTTTCGGGCAATAAAGAAAGCGATATTTCACAGAGAACAATGTTCGTATCTACCACAGCTGCTCATCCTGATCTCATCCAAAGATAAGGGTTTTCTTTTCTTTTCGGCCACCTTGTTTACGGTCCGTACAGATATGTCAATGTCAAGTTTCCTCGCACTTTTACTCGTTTTTGGACGAGCAACATCATAGAGGCATTCTTTTCTTTTTTTTTTCGACCTCCATCCATCCGTGTGCAGAATTTCGACACTCGACTTCTAATTTTCAAGATTTTTCGGCGGGAAGAGAAGCGGAATGGGATCCCTGCCACTGCGTCCGTCACGAACCGTTCCCCAAACGTAACGTAACGGTTTCGTAACGCGTAGGCGCGAGTGTGCTTGGCTTTCTTCGGAAAGGACGAAAAAATGAGTCACTTTGGAAAATCGAAATTGAAAACCGAAGCGACGCAACCCCGAAGTACAATTTTCCAGGATTTCTCGCGCCTTCTATTATTTTCTGTCACGTTTTACCGTGTGAATATCGGACGACAGCCGGAACCGTCAGGCGTTTCAAAAGCGAGTGAATCACCGGGGGAGTTCGGTTCCACGGGGATTCGATGGCGACTTTTATCGAGCGGAAAACAGGTAATTCAACAGTGAATCACCGTTTTTTCACGGGTTTTTATGCCTCGTTCGCTGATTTATCGCCTGCGCCAAAATCCATTTAAGAAGCGTCGGACCGAAACCAAACTTCGACGATGCCATCTCTCCGCTCTAAACTCGAGTTTCGCTCACTTTCTCGGATATCGCTCTCTCTTTTCTAAGAGTGTACGACGCACGAAAAATGAGATGGCGGCCTGGAGGTACCTGGATACCTGGAGGACACCTGGCAGGTGTCCGGACGCCCTCCGGTTCCCTCAAACTCCATGCCTTCAATTTCTTGCATACTAAGCCTGTGTATGCACAGGGAAGTATCAATATGCACGTAGAGAGATGGAATGAGGCAGGGTCGTTGTCTGTTCCGACGTTCCTCGCCCCGAGCGTTGCAGATGCAGGTACTTCTGGGGTACCTAGTACTAGTGGGGTACTCGTGGCGTCTTGGATGCAACCTTCGGTTAATGCTTTTGCATCGATCTGGCTATTTCTGGATCTCTCTTTGAAACCTGCAGATTCGGAGAGGCTAATAGTGCATTTAGACTCTGGAAATTTCCCCAAGCACCTCTTAAGATGTATTTGCACCTCCGAGAATCCTTTTTTTCTCTTCGAATCTTTTCACCTCGAACCTATTCGCTTTTGGACTATCGTGGGAATTTTGCATCCTCGAAACGGGCTCAAAAAGGCGTCGATCGAGATTCGGTACAGTCGCCCGACTGAATGCATGTGCAACCCGTTAAGACGCCGCGTCGAAGCGAGAAGCCCATATCTCGAAATCGTCTTCGTGGTTTTCGCAGGTTTTTATTTCGGGACGAGAAACAATTTCCCACGTGTGAAATGGGAGGGTCCCCAGAGTTTTCTTCCCTTCCCAGCCCTCGACTCGAGACGAGACGCGTGGACCGATATTTGGTGAATGTGTAATTATGAAATTTCCCTGGTGTTCGAGGATTCCGAAATGATTCAATTACTGAGGTGTTACATGGGAAGAGAGATGTGCAGAGTGACGAAAATTGTCGTAAACATCGATTATTTTGGCAACCCTCAGCCGAGAGTCACGGCATCCGACGACGTCTAGGCAACCGCTCGCTGATGAAGTGCTCGAGTGGCTCGAGGCCGTCGAGAAGCCGGCGCGGCTTCTCGACGAGGCAAGCGGCCACCCGCCTCTTCCGCCTGGTAACTTTGGGGGAACCGACTACGGTGGTTCGCCGACCGTCGGGCACGAAACGCCGAATGGGACGTTCGGTGCCTCGTGCTTTACAGGCGTTCTGCTTGTGAAGCTCGTCGCGAGGATCCTCTTCGTCGGGAAGTAAGGCTCATATGCCGATCGTCAAAAAATCCGTATAACATTAAAACGAAGTAATCATGGAGTTCTAAAAAAAAGACCCCATTCGTTCCCATCGAGTAGATATCGAAAGGGTACACATTAGTACCTGTTTTAATTTGGTATCTTCTTGGCGAACGTATATTTACGACACGCGTTTCTACGTCATATCGTACATAACATGTACCACACCGTACATATCAACTCTGCCGGGTATCAGCCGAATCAGCCTTTTGGAGAAACGACATTTCATGAACGTGAAGCAGAAATTTAGGGCTTTTCGGTAGTGTAGGACAAGTAAGTTGCTTGAAAATGTGCATTTTTTACTGGGCCACCCGGTATGACTCATCGCGGTTCCCACGATCTATCGAAATGAGGTGAATTTCGGTGAGATGACGCAAGGGACGTTGCTTCGATCGGGGCTGGGAACACAATCTTTTGCAATTTCCTCACTTCACGAGTAATAAGTAATAATTTGTCATCGAATTCGGGTCTTGTTCGAAAGAAGATGCAACATGGTCCGGGTTCTTTGCATACTTTACGGAATGATCTCAAGGAGAAGGAACGTTCTTTGCATACTTGATGATTTAGCACGATAAAAGCTGTCTCTGGATTTCAAGAAAGCAGTGGAACTTCAATTCCCACCGAAATTGCAAGCCCAAGTGCAGCGCCGATCTCGGCGGAGAATCCGAGACGAACGCCGTTCTCGGGAAAACCATGGCGAAAAGTGATGCTTTCCGGATGATACATGGGGAAATCGGTATGAGAAATGAGGAGAAATGGATGGGGATGTCCCCACGATGGAGAAATAATGGGAATGCGTGCGGAAGCATGCACCATAGACGATGAGTGTTTAAAAGGACCCCGAGGAGCGCCGAGAGAAGGCTTAGGGTTCCATTATCTCTGATCCCCCGATGCATTTGGCCCAGTTCTTATGGGAATGGGAGCACCTGCGGGGCCCTTCCCCGTCCCCTCCCCCCGTCCCCTCCCCCCTCCTCCCCGTCCCCTCCTCGTGCACGTCGTGGGGGTGTATGGATCCGGACTTGATCGATTCGAGGCGGATGGGGGTCTGGTTTTCCGGTTTTTATTTTCGGGATCACGAGCGGGGACTAGATCGGACGCGGACGCGGGCCTAGCACACGGTATCACTGAGGATGAAATCGGGGAAAAAATCGAGGGAAAATCGTGTATCACATGTTGGGGGTTCGGTGGACGGGCTCCAACTTCCCGTCTCGGGGGTCCTCGGGAGTCCACACTTTGGCGTGTTTCACCCCTCCCATACTGTTTTCCTTATCACTCGACCAGCTGATGGAATGCCCCACTTCGCCTGTGCGGAAAAAAAAAAAATTCAAATGAAAAAATTACGAACGATATTTTTAGGACGAAACGAGGAAGGCAGGTCAAAGTTCACCGCCCGGGGAAAAGCATAACCGATCGTAGAATGAATTATTATTAGCGGAAGCGGACCATTGATTTAACTAGGGCATCTGCTGCAGGGCCCCGAGGCTTTTTTTTTTCCCTTCCCCCCTCTCAAACGCGTTATTTTGTCGGAGCACCTTATTAGATGAGGGGAACGAGCGCACGCGATCGTACCTCACCGAGTTCCCCCCACCTCATGCCCTATTTACTTTATTAATTTATTTTATCTTACAAGTAAATAAATCCAGGCTCGTAAGCCTTTTTCTTTACCGGATAAAAAAAAAAATTAGGAAGCCGTGGATGCGACTCGCTTCTGATCGTAACGATAGAGGTGTCCCGCGTTCGGTTGGGGTTCTATGCATGGATGGTGTCATAATCAATTATGAATGGAGAGGGGGGACACGTGTGCGGGATTAAGACGATTAGCTCCGGGGTTCCCCCCGACACAGCCGTGGATTCGGGCGTGAATCTAAACCTCGTTCTGCAGCTGCGACTCTCCATTATGGGCGGCATTTTTTTTTTGTTTCCTTCTTTCGTCCTTTTTTTGCCTCGACGCGGCGGTCATTTCTCTTTAATCGGCGAGGGGTGAGACGGTAATGACCCCGTGAATTAGGTATGACTCGGAGACACATAAATCATGGTTCTCGTGTTCGATGCGGAGCCTGCAGCCGAGCTGCATTCGAGCGCTCCCGAACGGCGGGTCGCTCCGTTTCCAGGGGTGGCCTGCGTCGTTCACGAGGATGGCCTGTTACGATTTCTCACAGGGATGCCCTGTTAGGATTTTTTTTAGAGGTGGAAGAGAATCTGACCTCTGGGATTGTGAACGAAGACCTTGCGATGCTGGAGCTGGAGCTGCTGCGCGTGAGACGGCGGCTCTGCGGTCGAGGCCGTCCGGTCGTTGTGGACCAGGTCGGAGAGGAAGGAGATGTACCCGATGGCCAGCTTCAGGGTGTCCACCTTCGAGAGCCGCTTCTCGTAGGGGAGGGTGGGGATGTGGGCGCGGAGGCCCTCGAAGGCGTCGTTGATGCTCTGCATTCGCTTCCGCTCGCGCATGTTCGCAGCGTGGCGCTGCTGCTGGGCGGCGGCGGGGCATCTGCTGGTTTCGGGGGACCCGGAGAAAAAAAAAAAAAAAACAGTTCTTTTAAACCGTTTGGAAATTTATTTATTCACGTATTTACGTATTCTTAACGTTGGATGGAGTAAGGGAGCTCACAACGGTTCGGAAAGTGTACGCATCGCTTTTATGTCTCAAAGCGGTTTGAGCATTAACTCTGGAACTACCGGAATCAGGATGGTCGTATCTTTTATTCTCTCTCTCTCGTCTCTTCGTTCCCAAAGAATCTCTTCGAAATACCTTTTCTACTTACTACCTCGCGTCTTCGTGAAAGTACACGGAGCATCGGGCTTTGCAAGTTTAAGGCGCAGTCTACACCCCTTATAGAAAAAGTTCAGCACGTTGAAATTGAAAGGAGAAAATCAACGGTGATTCGCTGTCGAATGAACGGCTTTCGAAATCCATTCAAACGAAGTTCCCAACAGCGGTCACCGTTGACTCACCGGTGACATTCTTGTACGGAACAAATGGGCAAAAAAAAAAACAGTATGGTATCGTTCGGTTTCTGAACTCGGCGTTATGAAACTCCAAGAAGAGTCGTCGGCGCTTCAACGTTGGATCGCGGAGAAGAGAAAACGGGTCGACTTCCGTCGCCCATTTCCGGTTTTGCGAATCAGACCGGGAAAACGCTTCGGAAGCCGTTTTCACTTACATCTTGGCAAATGCTTAGAGGAAAAAAATGTTTAACCAGGCTCGTTCTCCTCTTACAAAAGGAGAACGAGCCTGGTTAAGTATATATAAACGTATACTACACCGTGATTAATAAATTCGGGACCCTCTAAATATTTTATCATAACTCTTATGTCCATTTGCATTAAATTTTAAATATGTCAATTCTAATAAAGAAGCTATGTATTTCCAAATATTGCTTGAAAATTAAAGTTCACTTTTAGTCATGATGATGATGTCATTATAAATCTGTTGCAGCATACTCTGAAAAATGGCGTTCAGTGAAGAAGACAAGCATATCAAATTTTTAAGACAGTAAATATTATAGAGCGAAGAGATTGCTAAAAGAGCTGTGGCTATCATTATGATTATTTGGTTTTGAACTACAATCGTTCATAATATCATGTAAATGGAAAAATATATAAGAGTTTTAATAAAATATTTAGGGGGTCCCGATTTTATGAATCACGGTGTAGTAACGCGAGAACACTGTGGATCTATAACCAACGACACGCGTTAGATTGGTAGACTGAAACATTTTCCAGCTGCAGGCTACCCAGGGACAGTTGACTTTGAAGCATGTTACCTGAAATGTGAGGCCAGGTGTGGGATTTTCCCTCGAAATGTCATCGACAGCCAAGAACGAAGTTTTGAAGGTTTACATATCCAGGGATCGACACACTAAAAATAAAATGATCAAAAAGACTCGGATCGCGATCCGAAATGGTGCCGCGGCACCATTTCTGGTTCCACAGGGAAACTTTCATGGAACTATTTTGATGTAGCCGAGCGAACACGAGCCGAGACCGATTCCTGATATCACCGGGATCGCGGAGCTTTCGCGAGGCACGACACGATGACTCCGACGAGCAAAGAGAGGGAAAACGATTCCAGGTGGACGTCGATTCGGATCGAGTCCCTTAGCGGTTCGAGAGCGACCGAGTGGTTCGCACCGGTCCTGATACGACTGGGTTCGAGAAGTTTCGAGACTCGGATCACCGTCACCGAACGGTGCGTTGCATCGTACCGAAAGAAAAGTCTTTGCATGTAGCTAGGGTCCCACCCCGCGTGCCATCCGCGGGTTCATGCGCCGAGACTCGAGTGGTAGCGACGAGGTTGCGCCACGTCGGACCCTTCGGGTGTCGGTCGGCGGTCGGTTTCCGCCTTCGCGACGACGCAAGGATCGCCGATCCGTCGCTTGGCAGGTACCGACACGGTCGGGCTGCCGCATCCTCCTGTTCTCCCTTCTCACCGCGCCACTTTTACCTATTCTAACTACGAAGAACTACGGCGGTGGTGGCATCGAACGAAGTCGCTAAAACGAGTTCCGGTCCAGCTTCGCGAGGAGCTTTACAGACGTTGGCAATCGTGCAACGAGTTTCTGCCTACGGTGATGCGGCAACGGTGCCGTAACTCTCACCGTTCGTGCGCAATAAGTCCAGTCGCGACACTTTTTCGACCTACCTCGTATATATGGTTTCTGGAAGCAAGCTTAAAACCATATTCAACCGTCCGTCGAGTACCGAAAACCGCTTCGAAGGAGTACAACCATCTAAAGATTTTCGTCCGAAATACATTTTTTTGAGCGCAGTTGCCTGAAACCTTTCACGAATGCCTGAACTAACATCGTTCGACATATTCTTCTTACTTTTTTATTACGGGTGCAAAACTTTTTGCTTTTGTATAAAAAAAAAATAAATAAATAAAAAGGATTCCAAACGGCTCAAACCATGAAAGAAACGAACGAGCGGAAAGGTACGAAATGGAAACGAACCTGAATCGCCGCTTCTTCCGCCTCCTGGAGGGGGCGGAGACGCCGGAGGAGAGGAAGGAGTCGGAAGACAGAGGGGAGGGGGAGCAAGGGGAGGAACTCAGGTCGCCGAGGGAGTGGGGATTCTCGTAGGCGCCGACGTCGATGTAGTCCAGGGCGTGGAACTCGATGAACTGTCGGTTCACGGCTTCCAGGTCCATACCGCCCATGCCGCCGGCGTCCCCGTACATCATTCTCGAAGCGATTCGGTTCCGCCCGCCGTCCCGTTTCTCGGTGGATTCGCTTCGAGCGTTTCGCCGTGCGTGGGCGGTGTGGCGGAGTCTGGAAGGAGAGACGCGGGGTGAGTCGACGGGGGTGGGTGCCGTTTTAGCCTATTTCGCGTGCGGTTGGAGATCGTTCCATCGCGATCGGGAAGTCGAGGAATGCTTTCTCGCGGCGGCACGTGTCTGCGACCGTGAGAAAGAATGGGGATTCGTGCAGGGGAACGGGGGTCGAGAGTCGCGTGTCCGACGCGTCCGATCCGACCTCATCGTCGACACCGATAGGCCTATTAGCCGACGTGACGATGCACTCCGAAGCGTGCCGCCCTCGTCGAAGGAACGCGCACCCACCACGTGCCGGCACGTGTCGCCGCCCTCGACACCGTCGCGCAAGAGGGAGAAACTGAAGCGGGACGTCGAAGGAGCGAAGGATAGCGAGGGGAAGGGGGAGGAGTCGGAGGGGTCTCGCCCGGCCAATCGGGGAGCGGCCCTTGCCGAGGCCCCGCCCCCTGCATTCGATTCCGAAGATGCTCGGCGCATCTCCCCGGTCGTCGTCTCCGTTTCAATTAATTTGCGTCGTTCCGGAGCCCGCGATGGGGAATTCCCGTCGCGAGGACTCGCGACTCCCTCGTCTCCGTCGGTTCCCGGGCGAGAGACTCGCGAGAGACGCGCGAGAGACGCGGGCGAGACGCTCTCGAACGCGCCGCGCCTTGGGACCGGATCGAAGACCTCTCCCCGCCGATCCTCGGGGAGGCAGATAGAAGCCTTCGTGGAAACGAGATGGGAAGGAAACCAGGTGGCCTCGTTCCCAGAGGACCTCCCTCACCTGCCGAGCTCCGAGCTCGTCTCTCGCGTCTCTTTCTTTCTCCATTATCTGCGGAAAGCCGCAGAAGATAAAGATTCCCCCTCTTTTCCTCGTTGCGGACGCGGCACGCGCCGGGCCGTGCAAATATCCGGATCCGGAGGCGCTCACCTGCTCGGACATCTGCCCGCGAGTCCTCGCACCGGTCCTTCCGGCGGTCCTCGCGGTCTTTCGGGACTTCCGGAAGTACAGATAAAAAAAATTACCGGCGCCAAGGCGAACCTTTGAGACCCGCAAACTTTACCGAACGAACGAGGAAGATGAATGCATCGTTCCTTGGGTCGAGACGGGCGCGGACGAGGGATCGGTTGAAATTGGGAATCTTTCGCACGAGGTGATCCGCGAACGACGGAACGATCGCCTGGAAGCCCAAAATATCTTCCACGGGCGTCCGACCCCTCGTCCGAACGTCGAAACGAGGAAACGAGGAAAATACGTTCTGCCCGTGAAACTGCCAACATCGCATCGGAGAGAGGCACGGAGCGCTCGACGAGAGCCGCGGATCGGTCTCGCGGGAGTCCCGTTTCGCGCGGAGCGAACGCGAACGCCCGCGACCGCGTCCGTCGTCGCTTCCGAATCGGGATCGGAGTGGACGAACCACACGCGCGGCGGGGAGTAACTCGAGACCGACAAAAATCACCCGAATCCTTCGCCTCTTTTCCACGCATCCGGTTTTGCGCGTATCCGGTTCTCCCATTCGGCAGGGGAGCCCCCCCCATCCCCGACCCCATCCGTTCCGTTCCGTTCGGACGGATCCGAATCGGGTCGGGTTCTATGCGGTCCGAGGTGAGAGGGTGCTTGGGGTGAGAGGGTGAGAGGGGTGAGAGGGTGAGAGGGTGAGAGGGCGAGAAGGTGCTTGGGGGTGGGGGG